TGAACCACAATCTCCCACAGTAGAACTAGCTGAACCACTCAACAATGCCCTCTTTATTGCCTTTTGCTCTTTCCCCATCTTCATCTCCCCTCCCTTTCTGCTGCTTCCTCCAACCATCTCCTGGTTCTGCTCTGAGGCCTCTGGGAAACCAAACCAAGATTCTCCGTTTCCTCACTTGAAAAAAGCCCCTTAAATTGGGCTGTAAAATATCGCACCTGGCTCCCAGGGCTGTTGCACAATCCCACAGGAACCCATGTGAAAGGGCTTTGTAAACTAGGCAGCTGGCAACCGAGGTGAGGGGTCACTGTGAGCAGAGGCATTCCCCCAGGAAGCACAGGGACTTGGGGGCTGCTGGGGCGAAGGCCCAGTCTCCCGGGTCATCAATGAGTGGTGGCTGGGGCCGCCGTGGGGATGACGAGGCATGAGGGCAGACAGGTGTGGGGAAATGCAAAAGGGGGGTGTGGACAAATAAGGGGTGTTGTGTCCGCATCCTGCGTGCCAGACTGAGGTGACCTGGCACAGTTGAGTGACTCACCGGGCCACCACAGCCTGGGACAAGGTCCCTCAAGATCATCCACCGACAAGCCGAGACTCGCCCTTGTGGGAAAAGACCTGCCTCCTGATTTGGCTTCTACCCCAGGAGGAGGAACTGAATTACCACTGGGAGGGTTCAGCACCCTGGTTCATTCACCCCTCCTTGCAGTAAACGCCAGAAAAACTGAGCCCTTCTTTGTGCCGGGTCCTGCGGTAAGGATCCAAAGGTGTACAAGCCACTCCTGGCTGTCTCTGGGCTCCCCGTCAGGGGCCGGGTGCCGGAGACTAGGAGACAGGCCCTGAGAGTGGGCTTGTCGAGAGAGGTGCTCTGGGCACAGAGGAAAAACATCTGAGCCAGAACCAAGAAGGGGGGCAAGTAACTGCGGAACTCTTCCCCGAGAAACTGATGTCCCCCTTTAATCCAGACCTTAGGACTCAGTCGGGAGAGAGGAAGGGCATATCCCCGAAACAGTGTGGACAGAGACGGGGCGGGGGGGGGGGGGGGGGGTCTGGCTCATCTGAGAAACTGTTATATGGCTGGAGCCCTGAAAGAGGTGGGGGTGCTGGAGGAGGAGGAGGCTGGAGAGAGAGGTGCACCAAAGAGGAGTGGGAGCCCAGAGGAGTTTCAGACAGGACAGAAAGGGGGTCAGATTTGACTTCAGGGTTCTCCCTGCTGGTGGCAGTGCCAGCCGGGTGGAAGAGGGTCTGTATTAGAGGCAAGATGAAAAGAGCCTTGAGGGATACGGACGTCAGTACCAAGCACAGGCCGTGAAAAATAGCCAGAAATTAGAACAAAGGGAATGAGTCTATAGGCTCCATGAATGCAAGGGGGGAGGGAGCTTGTCCATTTTATACACTGTAGTTTTCTAAGTGTCTGGTACACAGTAGGTGCTCAATAAACATTCAGATGAATGTGAGTCCAGGCAATGAAGGTGGAGAGCACAGTGCCAGTTCACTACCAGGGCAGGAGGGCTTCTGGGAGGGAGCAGGAGAGGGCCAGGGCTTGGGGCTGCTGGGAGTGGGTCCACTGAGTGGGAGGGTCTGCCTCAGAACCCCGTGGACCTCCAGGGTTGAGCAGTGCATCCCATGAACGTACTGGTCTCTTTATCAGGGTCTCACTGACCCAGGTTCTGAATCTGGTGTCAACAAGGGATTTCCCTGTCAGAGGCTTCTCCCGACCATCCCAGGCAGCTCACAATGACAGGGTGACAGGAAACCTCACCACACCCCTACTCCCCACGTGGCACCCTGCCTCTGCTCTTGATCCCTCAGCAACTTGGGGCCTCCCAGGCCCCACCCTCTGCTCCAGCTGTTGCCACCTTCCTGTTTCTAGACCTTTTACTCAGAAAGCTCCTGACTAATCTTAGCCACCGTGGCCCAAGGCCACACCTCCACCCCAGGCTTCCATTTGTGCTTCTGTTCGTGCGAAGCTGTGCCGGGTAAAGTCAGACTCTGAGCCTTCATCTGCTTAGCTGCAAGTGGGGTCAAATAACCTGTGCCACGGGGATGCTCCGAGGTATATAAAGGTAGCACTTAGCGTGATGGAATTGTTACCTTGAAGCTGAACGGTGTTAAGCAAAGCCAGAGAATCTTGGACCTGTGTGTGGGGGTTGGGGCGGTGCAGGCAAGGAGAGGGAGAAGGGTGGAGAGATGTTTTGGCAGAGGTAGGGATGCTATCAAGTAGTTCTAGAACCGGTGGTATTGTAAACACCTATGACCCTCTGTGAACACATCCATGCCTTCGTGAAAAACGTGGCTCACCCTGAAACCACAGAACTTTACATGTTTCCCAACAGACGCAAACGTTTAACTAATGTCCTGTGTGGTGCTGCTTTAGGGGGCCCCAGAACCATAGAAGCCTGACAGATCCTTTCGTTAAGTGGGTTCAGACATGCCCAGCTGAGCCTGGTCAGTCCTTCCTCCACGTTCTTTCCAGCCCCCGGTGCCCACCCCTCGAACTCCAGGCTGGTCCCACCTTCCTGAGACAGGAGCCCTTTCAGGGACGTCAGTCGCCACAAAAGCACAGGCTTGCTTCCTCCTCCCATCGCGGTGGCTGGGGAACAGACCCAGGAGCGCGGCTGCATGGGTTTGAATCCAGGCTCACCATCCATTGAGATCTTGCCCGAGTCACCTCTCTGTACCTGTTTCCTCGCCGGTAAAACAGCATGTACACCTACCGCACAGGGCTGCTGCACCATCAAAGGAGCTCATTCACAGAGGGGTATAAAGCACCAGAACAGTGCCTGGCAGACTGCTGACAGTTTGCCAAGATCCCCCCACCTCTCTCCCCTGGCTCCTGACTCCTTCCTGGTTCTAGGACACTTTCTGCAAGGCTCCTCCCCAATCCTCATTCAGACCTGTTAACTGTCACCTCCTCCTAGAAGCCTGCCCTGACTACCCCATCTTAAGTAACCTGCCCCTCCACCCCCCCACCTCTTTCCTTTTCCTCTCCCTTCCAGAACACTACCCCCAGTAGTCAACGAGACCCTCCCACTGTCCTCAGTTCACTGAGCCCCCAATCCTCCCAGACTGCCCCCACACCTTGCCCCTGCCCAGCACCCGCTCCCACCCCACCCCTGACATAGCACACACCAGACTGGCCTGTCCATCTCAGGCTTTATTGTAAAAAGGTTAAAATAAATTACATTTGACATCATTGCCAGTATGTACACACAGTGTGATTCCAGGACAGCCAGAGACACCCCGGCAAGGTGGGGCAAGGAAACGAAGATGAACTCATTAAAACATTCACAGAAACACCGAAGGCCACTCCTTCTCACCCAGTTGCCCAGCCAGCATAGCCCTGGGTCACGGGATGAATGCGGGCGTGGACACACAGGTCCATCACCGTCTTCACATGTTGGGGGGTGGGGTCCAGCCCCACAATACTGGGCGGGGGGCTGAGAGAGTGTTTGGGCCAAGGGTGATCACTCACCTCCTGGCCGGCCTCAGGTGCCTGTGACAGATGCCTCTCCCCCAAATGTGCTGCTCACGCGCTTATGGGTGCCTTGGCGCCCTCTCCATGTGGGGACTCTTGACAGCATGACCTTGGCTGAGGTCACCAAGAAAGGCCCAGCTGAGTTGGGGGTAGAAGGGTGAACATGTAACATCCCAGTCATTGGGACCCTGCTCGTTCACCTCCTCTGCCCTCTGGCTCTGAAGCCAACAGGTGCCAGGTATATAAAAACAGCAGTTTATTTAAAAATAACAGAATGCGCAGGGCAGAGAGGGCCGGCCCTCAGGTGTGCATCACAGAGAACTTTGCCGGCCCCTCATCAGAGAGGGTCTGTGCACAGTTTCACATTATCTTTTGCTCCCCCTGTCCCCAGTCCTTTCTTTCTTAAACACACTTACACACACGCACACAGTAAACCGTGGCTGTAGGAAGGAGCCGATTCACATATTTGGCCATTCCCGCTTGTGAGCCAAGAGCAACTTACCTCCTCCCCCTGCCCCCCCTCCCCTCCACCACCACGGGGCCAGGAGGGCCAGGGAGCCATGAGGTCCTTGTTCTGGGCACAGGGGATGAGGAGCCAGCCAGACGGGGAGGCTGGGACCAGAGGTGAGCTTACTCCTGCAGCTCCCTGGCTACTGCCACCCTCTTCCCCCAACGCTCCTGGGAAGAGAGAAAGCCGACGTCTGTCACTGCTTGGCCAAAGGGTGTCTGCATCAGGGAACTGGGCTCTGGGTTGGGGCGGGGGGGGGGGGGGGGGGGGGGGGGGCTTGGTCCGAGCACAGTGACAAGACCCTGGGCCACACTCAGAGCTTGCTCCCAGGCCCTTATATCAGAGGAGTGTTTCAGCACCTGCCCAGTATCTCCTCTCTCCCTTCCCCTGGGAGCCTCTTTCCTACTGAGATTGCAGTAGAGGCCTGACAGGCAGATGAGGAGGGCCTGGGGGATGGTCGCACATGTGCCCCACACAGGGCCCTGCTACTGCTGAAGAGCTGAAATGCTCAGCACCCCCAACACCACAGCCGTCCCTCCTTCAAAGGCAGGACCCGGGTCTCACAATGCCCTCCCCTGCCTCTTTTCTGAAATACCTGACTCAGTGCTGGGCTCACAGGAGCTCATTAACACTGGTGAACTCAAACAGCCGAGGCCCCCGGCCTAAGAGAACCGTGTGACATTTTCAACCGAATGACGCACGAAGACCCATGCAGGTGCAGGTCTCCTTGAGGGTCACCTGCCAGCCCACACAGGTCACTGAACCATCAAAATTACCAGCCATGCTCAGGACAGATGCCTCCCACTGCCAGGGTGCCCATTCAACCGGAGAACAGAGGCCCTGTCCTGGGCACATGCTATGTTTGCCAGTAGCATCTAGCTGCAGGGGATGGAAGGTAAGGAAGGCCCCTGGCCCCCCACTCCCAGTTCCAGGGCTGCCCCCCACCAGGGGCCAGAGTAGGACGCCCTAGGATGAGGGAAACGGAAGCCATCGAAGGTGGGGTGGGGAGCCGGCCCTGCCTCACGTGCCTCTGGGGCAGTCTGACTTATTATACTCGTTCACAAGCTGTTCGTAAGGCACGGAGAGTTCAGACTCGGTGCTGGTGAAGGTGGACTCATCAGACGAGGGGAACTCGCCCAGGTTCAGGGGCACTTCGGCCTCGGCCCCCTCCTGGGGCCTCTCCTCCCCTGCCAGGTTGTCCTCTATCGAGGACTTGGACGTCTCTTCATCTGAGAGGCCGGCTTCCTCATTTGTAAAGGTGATGTTGACATTCTGGAAGATGAGTGGGTGGTAGTCCTGGGCATCCCATGGCTCCCCCTCCTCGCTGATTCGATCCAACTGGTTAATGAACACTTCAGGGGTCAGGGAGCCATCCTTGGGGGGCCCCGCCCCAACCTCCTCACTGAGGGGCCGTGACACATGGCCTTTGTTCCTTAGCGTCTGAGACACCTCTTCTAAGCTGGGCACCCGGTTCTTGGAGTAAACCACCAGGGGGGCCAGGGAGGTGGGGAGGGCTGGCAGCCCACCCCCCTGAGGCCCCAGCCCCACTGTTGGGACCCTCTCCCCAGTCCCGTTCGTCTTCATTCCCTTCTTCCCGATCTGCTTGATGAGGTCATTGTAGGTCTCCTCCTTTTTGGACAGAAAACTGAAGATGTTGATGTCTTTGGATGCTGTGCTCCCGGCTATCTGTAGGGCCTTTTTGGAGTGTGGAGAGCTCTCAAAGGACTCCTTCCTCCGCCGCCGCCGTTTCTTGATGGCCTTATGGACCTCCACAAACATGCTCACCTTCCAGTTGACAAAGAGGGACAGCCAGGCCAGCCCCAGGTAGATCCAGAGCTCCACAAAGTAGCGGTACAGGGCATGGTAGTTGGCGCTGGGGTTCACACCTGCGGACAGGACAGGAAACCCAGGTCAGAAGAGCGTCGGCAGGGACCTGGAGACACGTTAAGGCCAAAGCCGTGTTCTCTGAGAGCAGGCACAGTGTCAGAACACAGAATGGGATGCACAGTGAGAGGAAGGACTAGCAACTGGACTGTCCTGTCATCCTGATGGTTCAGTCACTCATGTCCCCATCTTAGTCCCTAATCTGCCTGAGCCTCAATTCAACTGTTGAAAGTCAGGAGAGTGGTTCCCTAGGGCAAGGTAGGTTCAAAGGCCAAGGTATTGGGGAGGCTATTAACACAGCCAACATGCAGATCAGGAGAGAGTTCATGAAGGTTTGCCGTTTGATGATTCGTTGTACCACATCTAGCAGTTCTGTACACTTCTGGGGGCATGTATGTTCTGCTTCAGTTAAAACCAGGATGGAAATTACATGAGACAGTAGCTGGCATCTCCACTGCTGGGGATGGACCCACTGGCTTAATATGCATGGGGCTGGGGGTCGGGCCAAGAGGTCCATATGCACTGGCCTCAGCAGGAACTATTCTGGACAGCCTTGATTCTCCTTCAGGGGGGTCTGGCTGCCCCCTGACTTCCTGTTTCTGCCCTCTTCAGACTGGCTCTTCCAGTAGGGCTCTGCCTACTCCACATCCTCCTCCTCAGAGGCCAGGCTCTTGACACCTGCTCCAGGCAGTCCTCCCGGGTCATCCTACACAGCTCTGATTGAGTTCCTACACTCCAGGATTATCTGAGATTTTCAACTCTCGCTTCTAGGCATACTGATCTGTATTATTAGGTATCTTGCCACTCCTCCCCCGCCCCAATTGGGAGCAACTTGGAAAAGGGACTAGAGGAAGGGGGCTTCCTCCAGAGTGGGGCTCCTGCAGGGCAAGGCCTATACTACCCTCATCAAATCAGGTCCCTGAAGACAGGTGCTGTGTCTGCCTGGCAGATAAGAGGTGTTTTTGAGGGATGCTATCAACTTTGCTCAGGGCTCTTGGTCACAAGATGACAACCAGGGACATGCTAACATTGCTGGGTCCTAGCCTCCGCACACATATGATTTTCTACCACCCTATTAGGTAGGTGCTATTTTTTTAAATCCATTTTACAGATAAGGAAACTGAGGCAGAGGTTTGGAGTCATGCTGGAGCTGAGAAAGGATGACTAAATACACCCTACTTTCCCAGGACAAAGGCTTCTCTTGCCTGTCCAGGGTCCCTTAGACAATGACAGGACTGTGCCTCCATCTAAATTTATCTACCAAGACAGCAGGCCCTGATCTCCCGAGGTCAGTAGAGTGTTCAGGCATCTTTCCTGTTCCTCCCACCACTCAGCCACCCACCCCTGCCGCACCCCCGCCCTAGCATTCTGAGTCCCCCTTTACAATGAAGCAGAAGGGTAAGTGACCTGCTCCTGCCCCCTAGGAAGGGGGCGGGGGGAGACCAGAGGCCCCTGGAGCAAGGTTGGGGTCAGCTGGGCAGGGCAGCAGGCATCAAGGGAAGAAACGCTGGGTCAATGCAGCCAAACAGGGGCAAGAAGGTGAAGGGCCAAGATGCTGTGCAGGCCACAAGCACAAGTCCGTGAGAGGTTGGAGCCAAAGAATTTTATCACCTGCTGGATTAAGTAGGGGAGGAGTGGGAGGGGAATGTCCCGGCCCCAGGGGGTGGGGCAGCTTAGGAGAAGGCCTCTCTTGTCTTTAAACTGCCTGTGGCAAGAGCAAAGTTTCGGGCCTGTGAGCCAAGCCTCTAGAACAGCACCCTCCGCTCCTCTGACAGATGGAAGCCGGCAGCTCTGTAACAGGAAGGGGGTTCCTGGTTTGGCTTTAGGGCTTTCTGGGTCACAGGCACAAGCCCCGCAGGGGCCAGGCCCTACCCGGAGCCCCTAGTGAACCTAGGCCTAGGAGACAGGGGAGAACAGAGGGAGAGGAAGCAGCAAAAGCCAGGACCCAAGAAAGACAGGGAAACAGAAGAGGCTTCTGCATTTACTCCTCTTGCATCAGGCAAGGAGGGATAAGGACCCCTTTCTGGGGGGTGGGGGGGCTGCCCAGGACACTGAACACCGACTGGGGCCCCAGTAAAGATCAGCTGAATTGCAGGTGGAGGAGAAGCAGACAAAGAGAAGGCAAGGAGGCAGACGCAAGGGGAAAAGGGCAGGACTCACCGGCCACGAAGTCACCAAAGCCGATGGTGGAGATGGTGATGAAGGAGTAGTAGAGGCCCTCGATGTAGTCCCACTCCTCAGTCACCATGAACACGAAGGGCGGGATCACCAGGTGGACCAGGACGCCCCACACAATGAAGATGGCCGTGCAAGTGATCTGCGCCTTCCGCTGACGGGGTGGTGGGGAGACCAAGTCAGACCATGGCGGAGATGGGGAAGCCCAGCAGGGGCACCCAGGAGGCCACGGAACAGGCTTACCACCCAGGAGAGGGCAAGCAGCATCGCTCCCAGCCTCACTCACAGGACAGGGGGCCCTGGGACTGCCCTCTTGCCATCTGCCCTGGCACCCCTGCTCATTCTTGGTCTTCCCCATCCTCCCGTCCGTCCCCTGCCAGGGTCCCCCCAGTGCTGCCCGGCACCTAGGGTTTGGAGACATACCAGGCTCACGCCTCTCCTGGTGAGGAACTGGCCCAGCCTCTTGGCACGTCCCCCGAAGAACTTGCCCAGGGCGCTGATCCACGTCAGGCAGAGCGGCACCCCGAAGAGACCATAGAAGACACAGAAGAGGCGCCCAGCAGGGGTCTTGGGGGCCACATTGCCATAGCCTGAGGAAGGAGAGGAGAGTGAGGCACAGAGAGCCACAGCAGGGGTGACAGACCCAGATCCAGCGTTGGCCCCTGCCTCTATCACGTACCCATACCCACATCCACACACCCACATTCCCTAAGATCACTTGATATTGATCTAACATCAGGACTTAAGAAATGAAACTTCACTTGATCACACTACGGTCATGAGCATTTACAGAGCAAGTGTGATAGCATGGGCTATGTCTCCTCCATCAGATTGGGAGCTCCCTGGTGGACAAAGCTTTCACCATTAGTAAACCTTCCACTAGTCCATATGGCACCACTGTGCAGATTACAAACAGCCTTCTGTGGGGAGACACCCCGGGGGCACCGTGGTAGACCATTCTTAATCCCTCCCTTTCCTGTGCAAGCCCGTGCTGCTGCTCACGACAGGCTGGCATCTAATCCCCTCCCTTGGAATCTGGACATCAGTGTCTGGCTTGACCCAAGAATGCAGCGCAGGTGATGCCCGGTGGGCTAGGTCTAAGAAGCCCTCTTACTTCTCCCCGTGACGTCCTACAATGCTCACTTTGGGGATTCTCCTTCTTGGAACCCAGCTGCCATACTGTGAGCTGCCCAAGCCAGTGCATTTTCACCCCCAGCCGTGCTCTCAGCCAGCAGCCAGTGTCAACTATCAAATGTGCAGTGGACGAAGCCGTCCTGGATGTCTAGCCAGTAGTGCTTTTGGCTGACTCCAGTCTCACAAGGACTGCCTCCGCCATTATATACCTCAAGCAAGAACCAACCAGCTGAACCCGGGCAACGCACAGAATGGCAAAAGCGAATAATAAGTTGTGTTTTAAGCCACTAACCTCTGGGGTGGTCGGTTATGAAGCCACAGAATATCAGAATACCCAGCCTGGCAGGCAAGCATGGGCTGGGTTTGTGCAGTGAGCAACCTGTTCAACCTCCTGCATGGCCCTGGCTATTGGGCTATGTCGTTTCTGCTCCAAGAGCCCAGGTGAGGACTCCTGGAAAACAATCTCCCAAGCGTGGCCCATCACCAACGACTGACTAAACGCCTAGGAAAGTGTTAAAAGAGCACAATGCAACAAGGCCATGGGACCAGAGCTGGATTTTTACAAGGTTCCGTGGAGCTAGGGCATGGCAGTGGCTATCCTGAAGGTCCCAGAAGACTTACCAATGGTAGTGATGACTGTAGCTGCAAAAATCATTGCATTGGGCCAATTCCAGTTGTTGAAGGTCTGATTCCCTGTAATGGCCACGCCCTGTCCTGCAGCATCAGATACTACCTAAAAAGAGACACACAGACTGACTCTTAATGCTTTCTAAGTGACAGCACTGTACATAACTCCGTAAGCATTCGTAATCATCACAATAATAAGGTGGCAGTTACTGTCTCCAATTTATTAGGTGATGAAATATTTTATAGAGGATCAGAGAGGTTAAGTGATGTGCCCATGGTCACACAGCTGGTCAAGCAGTCTGTCTCTAAAGTCCATTCTCTCACTGAGCCAGTGCTTCTCAACCTTACTAGTGTGCACCAGCATCACCCAGAGAGCTTGTCAAATACAGACTGCTGGGCCCCACCTCCAGAGTTTGATTCAGTGGGTCTGGGAAGGGGGTCTGAGAATCTGCATTTCAAATGAGTTTCCAGGTGATGCTGGTGGTAGTGGTCCAGAGTCCACACTTAGAGAGCTACTGTGCTAGGCTATTCTGCCTCGAAGAAGGCACATGTGATTCAGACACGCAGGAGGATGCCTACACCCTACCCAGCCCTCCACAGCCCTCCACAGAGAAGTGTTCTACTGCAGGATAGACCTGGGAGGGACCCCCATATACCCTTCACCTCAGCTCAGGGCTCTCTTGGATCTGTTGTCTCAGGGTGTACGAATCAGCTAGCTTCCTTTTCCCCATGCTTGGGACTCTACCCTCTTCCCCTACAGACTCCCCATTCCTTCCCTTCTCTGGCTCCCTCTCTCTGCCCTGGGCCAAGCAATTTCAAGGTCTGGTCCAGAACAGATCATCAAAGGTGGTGTGCACATTTCAAGGCGACTCAAAATCCTGCTACCAGTCCCCACAGGGCTCCCAGCAACTGGGGGCAGCAGGTGAGAGGCCACCTGGGGAAGTCCACTGGTGGCCCCAGAAGAAGTCTTATCTATTCCAGGAACACTGATAGCTGCCAAACCTGTTCTGGCTGACCACAGACTGCCTCTAGCCCCTCCTTCAGTCCTGCCACCATTCACCCCAACTTGCAGATGACAGGGTGTGGACCCCAGAAGGAGGCTCACAGAAGGGCCCGGCATTTAAACCTGGGAGGTTCCAGTTCTGCCCCCAAAGAGGGCCCCAGGTGGGCCACCCAATCCAGAGACCGGGAACTCAGCCAAATTCCCTATAAACCTCAAGCCTGGGACCGAGGGGAGGCAGAAGAAGAGCGAGGCAGACGGAAAGCCCAGAGTTGTAACCCACCACAGTGTGACTGAAGTCCGGTGGGAAACCAGGGAGGGGCTGGGGCTGTTGAGAAGGAATGAGCAGTTGGGAGCAGCAGCAGGCCCGTGTAAACGGATCTGCAGATCCCATGAAGAATTTTCCATGATGACATGCCCGTCTGACAGGCCATCAAACCACACCACTCGCTGCCCTGCCTCCTCACGGCGCTTCCAGAGCATCTCTCTGCAGGCCGTGCAGTGGCAAAGCAGAAAGGCCGCAGGCTGCCTGCAACCCTTCGCTCAGAGAGCTGGCTGTCTAGCCAGCAGGGCCCCCTCCACGTGAGAGTACCAGCGCATTCAGATCCTAAGGGGCCAACAGGTCCATCCGAACGGTTTTCTCAGAAATTAAACCTACGTCCGAAGCAGGAGAATGTAGCAGGGTCCCGTGTCTTAATGTCAAACAGATGGCGGCTCCCTTTGGCCCCAGCCTTTGTTGTAGAGCGGAAAGGGCAAAGCATAATTGCCGGGGAGCTCAGCCTGACAGATGAAAAGAACGCTTAAGTAGGAATTGCACCACTGGCAGGGAGTGATACCATCAGGGCGCCATCTCTGCTCATCCCCATGGAGTCTCGGGAACACGAAAGCTGTCCCTATTCTCGCACAAACAAAAGGGGTGGGTTCTAGACACTCAAACCAGAACTCTTACAGATGTCTAAATGGGGACAGCAGCAAGTTTGGCACAATCAGAAGAGGAACTGGTGGGTACCAGAAGCTAGCGCAGGTTCATCAAGAATGAGTCACGCTCAGCTAAGTGCATCTCCCGCACCAAAGGGGTTGCAAACCCTTGAAGTTGGGTGGAATGCAGTAAATCTAGATTTCAACAAGGCAGCCGAACAGATGAGCTTAAAGATATTCATGTGGACAAGACAGAGAAATGTAGGGCAGAGCTGGGATTAATTTGGATCCCTTTAAAGGCAGATAAACAGCCAAGAGGTCTTGATCTTTATCGACCTGGCCTGAGGTCTCCATGATCATGCCAAAGGCCTGGCCTCTTCGATATTTTAATCAACAACACAGAAAACACATACATAGATGGCTGCCCAGTCTCCTCTGCAAAGGATGCAAAACTGCGGACAAGGCCAGGGTGGGAAGATAGTTATTAACACACCGCAATGGCAGTCTGGAACTCAAAAATCATCTGGACTGGAAAAATGGGCCCAAACTAACAAGATATGACCATCTTTTAAGTTTTTCATGTCATACACTTTGGGTTAGAAAAGGCCAGTATAGGCGTGAAATGAGAAGTCCTTGGGATTCAGCTGACCACAAACTAACAAACACGAGGGTGGCTGCTGAAAGAAAAGTCAACACAATCTCAGACAGTGTCAACATCTTATCTGTCGAGGGCTGGGTCACACATGGGGAACTCTGTTCCACTGTGGGTGCCTGACCTCACATGATCTATTACCCAAGGAAGAGGAGAGTGGCTTTTTTGGATAGTGAGCTACCTCAGAATGGACTGCTCTTGGCAGTAATCCACTTCTGATAATAGAAAGTGTTGAGAGCAAGGGTGACCACAGCATATCAGGGATGCTGATGGTGTGACTGGAAACAAGGGTTCCCAACTGGGCGGGAGCACCTTCTGGAAGTGTCTGGAAATGCTGCCTAAGTGGGGAGTGTTATCTTGGCAGCCACTGTTCCAGGCACCATGGACAGCACATTGACGAGACAGAGTCCCTGTTGGCCCCCCCATCTATTCTAGTGGGGGATGGGGCTAGATGTCCAGCAACTCACAAGACAGCCCAACCCACAATGCCAACACTGCTTCCGCTGAGGAACACTGGCTTTCCAAAGGCAATCTGTGATTTGGGAATCATTAGTAAGTACTAAGGAGACACCAAACATAACAGTGGCAAAACAGGGGTGTCTGAGTGGCTCAGTCGGTTGAGCATCCAACTCTTAGTTTCGGCTCAGGTCATCTAGGGTCATGGGATGGAGCCCCACACATTGGGTTCCATGCTTTGTAGAGCCTGCTTGAGATTCTCTTTCTCTCTCTCTCTGCCCCTCTCCTTTACTCATGCTCTCTCCCTCTCTCTCTCTCTTTCTCAAAAAAAAAAAAAAAATTAATTAATTAAAAAAAAAAAAGTGTCAAACAGGGTAACCAAAGAGGCCATTACGGTTGGGAGCTCTGCAGCAGAAAAACTGGGTTTCCTGCTTTCCCTCTGCCAATCCTGTGCCCTTTGGGGCATAGCCTTGCAGCCTCGGCCTCCAGCCCTGGGTTATCAGGGAGCCACAGCCCCAAGCACTTTCCCCAAGACCTCCATTATCTCTCCATGGTCACCCAGAGAGGGGCAGCGAAGGGGGCATTCTGAGGCTCCCAACGTCCCCAGGGCTAGAAGCACCACTAGCCCTTACAGCAATCCAATGGTGGCAGTTCTGCCCACTGGTGAGGTCACGAAACAGGCTGAGAGAGGTTACACGTGGCTGGGCTAGGTTCTGGTTACAAGTCAGTGGGACTCCCCCTCCCCTCTTCTCTGCTCTACCGGCCCCTAGGCACCCCCAGCACTCCTTGCTGTTGCCTCCTCTCTGCCCATGGCCACCAAGCAGCTGGCCTGAGAATCAGCTTGGGTCCATCACAATGCTGGAGTGGGAAGAAGGCTATTAGTGCTGCTGAGTGGCAAACACCCCTTGCTGGGGTGTATATACACATATTACCTAACTGGTTGTTCCTGTGACCCTGCCAGGTGTCCCTCGACAGGTGGGGGAAGTGAGGCTTAGGGGAGGGGCAGAAGTCCAGATGTGGACTTGGGGGCCTGCTTCCTGTTCCCACCATGTACAGCTGTGGCTCTGGCAGGGGCAACTCCATGGTGATGGTCAGGGTCGTACCGAATGCAGGGGCAGTCTCCCAGAACAAAGGGCCTGACCCAAGATCCAGGCCATCCCTGGGTTAGGGAGAGTGGCACGGGGGAGCCAGGCTGACACCACGATGGACGTGGCGTACTCTTCCGAGGGTTAGGCAAACAGCTCTAGCAGGAGGAGGTGGCCCCTGTTCACTCACAGGATTCTTTAACTTGGCTCCCTAATTCACACAAGACAATATTTTCATTTTCCACATGACCCTGGAGAGTGATGGGAGAAGGGATACTGCACACAGCCCGGGCCTAGCTCTTGTTTGGGGAAGGGATTGAGCTCCCTTCTGGGTCTCCCCCCCCTAACAAAGCAGCTGTGATTTACTGAGGGCTTACTATGCACTGATGCACTGAGTATTGTGCTAACACTTTACTGCCTTTAGCTTACTTAATGAGGACAGAATCCTGCTGGGAAGATACGTAATTTTTTCCATTTTGCAAATGAAAGTGTAAGGCTTGGAGAGGTTAACTAAGTAGCCTAAGGTCAGAATGCTAAAAGCACGAAGCCAGGAGAGCCCTGGCTAGACGTGGTTATCCTGCCCCCCTTCCCACAGAGGCCACAGGAAGGAGGCCAGTGCATACTTCCACCCCTTCGCACCAGCTGAAAAAACAGTGCCCTAAAACCAGTCCATCCACTCTGACCCGAGCTCAGCATTCTAGCCCGGCCTCCAGGGAGGCCACATGCCCTTGCCTTGGCTTCAGGCAACCAGCTGCCCTGACCCCACCCTCCTGAGCTCTCGCTGTCCGAGAAATACGGTTCCCGTACAGCTCCTCATCCCCCGGGATCTGGGGTTTCCCAGGCAGAGGCAGCTGCCAGGCCTCCCCTTCCTGGAGAGATTCATCCTGCTGAGTGGGCCAGTTCCAGGGCTCGGGACACGAAGCCCACCTTCACACACAGGCAGGTGGGGCTGAGAGCCGGCCGGCTTGCCCCTCGCGCACCCTCCTGCGGTGGGG